TTTTGGATAATTTCTGTGAAGCCGTTCACGTCCCAATCCCACTCTCCTGGCTCCAACTCCGCATCCATGCACACCTCCGTACAGAAGTACAAAAAGCTGTAATCTCTCTTCCACCTCATTATCATCTGCTCATGAATTTACTGGCTTCCACGGCACATCTGCTTACTTTCCATAGGTCTCTGTTATCGAGGCTCGACTATATTCTTTTTTTGTTGAAATGACGTGTTTCCCCCTCAGCGATCATTAAAGTTTTATCTCATCTCTGCCGATAGATCATGTGTCGCTGCTCCGCTGCTCTGGAGAACTCCGTCAAAGAAAAGATTTCAATGTTCTGCCACGTAGAACCCGAACAGGTACGTCACCGACACTGAAGCCCTTTGATGAAACAGACTCTTTCAGCTGCTCCAAACTCAATGAGCTGTCTCGTCCCAGGTCATCTGTGTGCACGACGTGTCGTCCATCTACAGAGTGCCGCTGCTGCTGGAGAATCAGGGTGTGGTGGGCTACCTGAGCAGGAGACTCAATATGCCCATAGAGGCCCGACCCAGGAAAATGCTGACTAAATGGAAGGAGATGTCTGACAGGTTAGTTAAAGAAGAAATCCTCAATTTAAAATGAAATTGGGGACGGGGGGTCCTGTGCTGTTCTCCTGCCCTACAGTATGTGATTATCTCCAGCGTTAACTACTATACATGCTGTGTTCACAGGTCAGACAGACTGCTGGAGCACTGCTCTATAGCACTGGTTGGGAAGTACACCAAGTTTTCCGACTCCTATGCTTCTGTCATCAAGGCTCTGGAGCACTCGGCCCTGGCCATTAGCCATAAATTGGAGGTTAAGGTATGTACACCGTGGTGTTAACCCACAGTCTGTGTGACAGATTTGAAGGAATTCTTTTTCTTTTTCCTCCTAAACAAACGCATTTTTGGAGGCCTCAACATGCTCGAAAACTCATGAAACTCGGCGCACATGTCAGTCGTGGCGAAAAATTTTATATTCTATGCGCAGCTTTCGGGTTGGCCACTAGGTGGCGCTACCGTCAAAAAAATTATTTTACTCCTATATGCTTTGTCCGATTTGCACGAAAATTGTTATGTATCATGTGGGGACTGTCCTGGCAAAAAATTTGAAATGAATTTGAAGATTTTGATATTCAAAAAATCACGCCCGATAAAATTATTACTTCTTGTAGGATTTGGTCAAAACAGTAAGTGGAGCATTTCCCCAATATGTATGTACGATACACCAAACTTGAATCCTTAGGTTCCACATTCTTCCTCAAGATCGTGTAAAATTTTAGGCTATTGCCACAAGGGGGCGCCTTTAAAATTTTAAGAAAGTTTATACTCTCCGCATTGCACGTGGATTTAAATGAAACTTGTACGATGCTGCCCACATTGCCCCTGGGACCCTCACTAATAATACGTGGCCGCAGCACGCCCCGAGTTGCGTGGAGTGCGAGGGCCCGCCCAACGCTGCTTGCAGCTTTAATTTTGAGTTATGACTTCTAGAATGATTTTAAATTAGCTTAAATTACATGACAAACTATCAGGGTTCCCACGCATCCTGGAAAAGCTGGCAATTTAGAGACTAGTTTTCCAGTCATGGGAACACCTAGACATTATTTAAAATGAGCAGATATCCTGGGAATAATAGTTATCCAGTACATTTTTGTATTTTAGCCTCTTTCTCAGATACCCTACGTAACCTGCGTGTGTATTTAGGACTGTTGATAGCATAAACTGTGACAGTGGAACTGACCTGTACTGCTCTTTTCGGCATCACTTCTATTTTTTCTATGCATACAGCCTAATAATGATCAAATTTCTTGTTGCTGTGGTTGATAAATACATGCACAGTGATGTTAATTGTATGTGCAGCGAACACTGGAACTTTCTTAAAGATTTTCTGTAAAATAAAATAAATTCTACTTGATTTGAACTTGTTGGCTGTGGCTGAATTAATGTAGTCAAATCACCCTAAACCGAAGCTTTTATGACCATTTGTGATCAAGTGCTGTCCTGTATTAACGAGCCTGACTACAATAACTAAATTCCTGATGTTTTTAGAACACCTGCATACATGTGTCTTTGTCTTCATCTATCTGGGATCCTGGTCCTAGTCTGTAATGTTTTGTAATGTCATTACAAAAGAAAATAGTTGTGATGCGTGTGTGTGTTTAAGTCAAACCGGGTGTGAAGTTCTTCCATAAAGAGTAACTTGACCCAGACTGGAAATCCTGCATGTGCTGCCATCTAGTGGAAAACAGCTCTCTATCTAAATCTTGTGTTCTTCAGAGCTGCCACCTAAACGTTGTGTCTCTGCCCCTCAGTATATAGACTCAGCGTATTTGGAGCCGAGCACTCTGCAGGAGGAACCGGTGAAATACCACGAGGCGTGGCAGAAACTCTGCAGTGCTGAGTGAGTGCTGATGCACCATTAAATACAGTGATACAACCTGGACATTACATTTGTAGTTTCATCAACTGTTTCCCCCTCTATCCTCAGTGGCATCCTGGTTCCAGGAGGTTTTGGTGTCAGAGGAACTGAGGGAAAGATTCACGCCATCAACTGGGCCAGGAATCAGAAAAAACCTTTTCTAGGTACAGGATAGCTGTCAGGATGGCCATGATACGTGTTTATCAGATTTATCCTATTGAAAGGAATAACACTTTTGAACTGTGTGTGTTCCTGCAGGCGTGTGTCTTGGAATGCAGTTGGCTGTATGTGAATTTGCCAGGAACATGCTTGGCTGGAAAGGTAATATTAATTCTCCCACATAGCCAAACTGAACTGGTGTAGTGTTCTGTATTTGCATCAAAGAAAACCACCACCACTAAACAGAGCGTTATCATGTTACTCAAACTGGCTCTGATGTTGTAAAGCCAGTTTCCTTATTTTTCTTTTACTAATTCAGGTGAAAGATTGAGTACATATGTGTTCAGCTACTGAGCGAGTAAAAACTGTAATTTTTACAGAATTTGTTGAATTACAGCTACCGAATTCTTTCAATTTGACTATTTTATTCCATCAGGCACCTTTTTGATTCAGTACTCATTTTCATAGTCCTTACAATTGTGCATGTGGCATAGGAGTTATTAGGAATGCAAGTAATATGCACACAGGTGATATCAAAATAAAATGACAAACTGTCTACTAGTATAAAGAACACACCACCATGTGCATACAATCTGTCAGTTAAACCAGAGCAGTGGGATGTGCATTAGTATTGATCACAGTGCCTAAAATATTCATCATCATAGCCCTCTGTTTATGTTTACAGTACTGCTATTGAGCAGTTTGGGGTTTAAACACAAACAATCTATATATGACATACTTAACAGAACTGACTGACTTTGCCTGTTCTGCACTTAGATGCCAACTCAACTGAATTCGACCCAGAATCGAAGCATCCTGTGGTAAGTTAGTTTTTTAAATTCAGAAATGATCTCGCTGTAATTGTATGCGAGAGTGTGCATTAAATTGAGTTTGTCGTGTTGAACATCTGCAGGTGATCGATATGCCTGAACACAACCCGGGGCAGATGGGTGGAACCATGAGGCTAGGGAAGAGACGGACCATTTTCAAGACCAACAACAGCGTATTGCGTAAGAACTTGAAAATGTACTTTGAGCTCAGTATTGATGTGTTGATACGTCTGCCCTGTGCTTACAGCTGTTCTGAATTCCAGGCAAGCTTTATGGAGACGCAGAGTATGTGGATGAAAGGCACCGGCATCGCTTTGAGGTCTGTTCACTTCTCAGTTCATCAGCAGCATTAAACCACCTTGTTGACAGTGGAGAGGGTGTGTTTTCTTTAACTTTGTCATCCTTGTGCAGGTTAATCCTGACCTCAAGAGTCACTTTGAGGAGATGGGCTTCCGCTTCGTAGGTCAGGATGTGGAAGGGGAAAGAATGGAGGTCATAGAGCTGGATGGTACGCAAAATGAAACCCTAAACTGCTTTTTATCTTGTGGATAATGGTATTTACTGTGAAAGGTCAACAGGTCCTCTACAACCCCCTGCCTACAGTACATTCAGGGTTCCCAATGTGTCCTGGAAAAATGGTTTTATTTTAGCATGCGCTGTGGCCAGATTAATGTTGGAGGAAAGCTTTAGTCAGTTGTTCATAGCAGCCATTTTGACACGAAATAGGGTAAACACAGAGCCCTCATGGTAAATGTAATTCTGTTTCAGACCATCCATATTTTGTGGGAGTGCAGTATCACCCTGAGTTCACCTCCCGCCCCATCAAACCATCACCCCCCTATCTGGGTTTGCTGCTGGCTGCTGCAGGGAAGCTGCAGAGCTACTTACAGAAGGGCTGCCGTCTCTCTCCACGGTAAACACACTGCAACACGTTTTATGGCTCAACTGATACACCGGCTGTTATATCTGACCATCCATTTTGTGTTTGACACAGGGACACATACAGTGACCGGAGCGGCAGCAGCAGCCCAGACTCTGAGATTTCAGAACTGAAATTACCTTCCATTACCACTGAGTGACCTGGAGGAACACAGTACGAGATGTTTGCAAACTTGGCAGTTAAAATTTCAACTTCCCTCTACAGTGCTCAGTAGTTCTGGACTTGTTCTAAAGTGGACCCCCCTATAATCACTGACCAAGGTGGATTGTGTTTCTCAACCCTGCTCTGGATGATGTGCACTAGGAGTTCCAGTCCTGGAAATGAACTGCTCTGTATTATGTTGACATTGTGTCTCCTGCACATTTACCACAGGTTGATGAGATACAATTATTGTAAGGGGGTGTGGGGTGGTTGACATGTGAAATTAAACCAAGTGACAAGAGCTTTCAATGCTTATGTGGTAAATGAAAAGTTGCTGGACCATTTCCTGAGAACAGTCTAATTTAAAACTGACTCCACTATTGTTGCCTTATTGTAAATAACCCCTGCTACAGCCATTTGCAGCATATTCAAAGTTGTTACATTTTTAGAGGTGAATGGAACATTAAATATAATAAATGCTTCAAGAATAGTTGAGTTTGTGTTTAAATTTTATTTGGTAACAGTCAACTTTACATATACATGCGAGTTCAACAAATGTAACATTGGTGCAGCCAGGAATACAGATGACTGGACGTCCACCACCCTCACTTATTCAGGCTGCTCTCCAACTGGACCTGAAATAAAAAAAAGTTTTAGTGCAAGTCACTGGCCATTTCTGAACAGAACATGAACAGGGCTGATCTCAGTCCCATATCCGCAAGCTTCATCCAACAGTCCTCATTGTGTCAAGTGATCATCATGGATCAGAATAGCAGCTCGTGAGTGCTGACAAATGTCTTCACATACCTTCAGACCACGAAGTTACGATTCCAGAGCCAAGATTAGATTGATGCCTACAATGAGAGAAAGATTTGTTACAATCACGATTATCTGTAGCTAATCACTTCTGACTGCACCAGCAAATAATCAGGACTACTGTAGGACAGTTGAGTGGCTGCTGATGGCAGAGGGGGCCAGAGCAGTCAAAGACCACCCTATTCTCTTGCATGCACTTGGAGAACCTAGAGCTATGAAGAAGCCCCGGTCCTTAGGATAGCATGCTTAATGTGAAGTAATCAGAGGGAGCAAAAAAATAAGTTTACCTTGAGACATCCTCCTCTAGTCCCTTTAGGCTCAGCCATTGGAATCACCTAAACAGAGCAATTCAGTTAGTTTCTAAATGGGACCTTACTTTCGTTAAACTCCAGTTTAACAAGTGTGGCTCAGGAATATAAATTGTCTCAATCATGCCTGATCTCAGTGAGGGCAAGTATGTCATCACAGCCAGTACTAGTGTATGTGAGCTGTGGCTCAGAAACTTACCTGCAGGTGATGTCGTTTCCTTTGTTTCAACCTTCCATCTTCACCAGGACTTAGACCTGCACAAAGACGGCAAATGTTTAGAAAAGCTATTCACCACTTTCCTTATAGTAAGTATAGTCTAGTACTAGTGTCCTTTCCCAAATTGTTGCTGGAGCAGTTATTGTCAAACTGAACAGCGACCGTCGGTGAAAGTCTTCATTTCGGCTTCCTGTTGACCGTTCGCTGCTACGTAAGAGCAGGAGCGGCTTCGATAGGAGCCTGTTCTATAAAAGGCAGTATAAAGTCTTAGATTGAGGAGGAGAAAAATAAAAATAAAATAAAAACTTGCCTGCTTTCACCATGGACAGGGGTCAGCACAGGCACCCGACTGGTCTGTGGCTGCAGCCCCACCCCAAACTGATGCATCGGGAGTTCTGACACATTTCTAGCCGAACCAGCATTCAGTAGTAGTTTCAGCTGGAGTAGCTCATCTGTTGGCTCTGACCACATGGGCCAGCCTTGGCCATGTGGTCGGTTCACTTCCTTGGACCACTTTTGAGCGGTACTGAACACCCCACAAGAGCTGTGGTTTCAGACATGCTCTGACATAGTCTCCCATTACTGGTTGAGCCTGTAGAGAGAAATGTAGATGTTAATGCATGCTCTGCATTGATGAGCATCAAGTTAAATAACAGCTAAGAGGAAGTTAAGTCAGGATTTTTAGGAGCCACTTTTAAAACAGTGGTACAAGTTATTGAGCAGTAGAAGGCACTAGAAGATTACAGGGTAGAATTACAGGATTGCCTCCAGTTATGTGCATTCACTTTCTACATGGTCTTATACCAGACTAATGAAAGTCTCTTAGCAGGTTAAAATTTAGACCTTAACAGGTTAACCATGCATAGTGAACTACAGCCAAAGACTCTTGGTCTTTAGGAACATCGGACTGTATCTGAAGCAGATCTCAAGGGTGGATGAGGACCTGACCACGTGGTTCACACGTATAAGCCTTATGTTAACAGAGCTAAGAAAAAAAAAAGAAAAAACCGGACATGAACTTTATTACAAAACAAGCTGGCGCAAAGCCGGTTACTGTAAATATAACGCTGTGTAATTAGTTATCATGGAGCATTAACGGCTACCACAATCTGTAATGAACTTAGTTATTTGCTTCATAAGCTACCATTAGCTAGCTGGTTTACCCGCTAGTGCTGGCCCTGATAGTCAATAACTCGGCGGTAACATTAACATGTCCCACTCTGTAGTTGGTCATGGCAGCGTGAGCCAACCACAGCACAATTATTTACGAACATAAAACTTTAGCGTAAGAAAACAAATGGAGTCGAGGCCTTACCGCCATCCTGCGTCCGCTGCACTTTCTCCCCGTGGAGGACTGGAAGAGGAAGAGGCAGAGAAGAGCGTCTCCTGCTCTTATATACGCTAGCGCCGAGCAGCGGGCTTCTGATTGGCCCGCATAACTCACGTGGACCTCTTGCATGATGGGATATGTATTTTTATAAGCTTTTCTGCGAACCGTTTCCGTCTTTCTGGGTTATTGTGATTTACACAAATGACTACCAACACAAAGAGGGATTTTGACGTTTCCCCAATCACGTATTTTCCGCAGAGGAGGACAGAAGTGAAAACATAGTGTGTAAAGAGAGAAACAGCCGGTAGAGTCGGGCTATAACCGGAACTGAAGCCTACTGAATGTAGTTCAGAACCACGGACAGCAGCCTGCCTCCAGCCACTGAACTGACGCTTGTGGTTTTGAGATAAAACCGTTGCGAAACATTGCTCATACAGGGCCACGACGATAGTTGAAGCACACTGAAAGAACCTGCTAGAATTTCACACAACGTAGACCAAACCCTCTTTGTGTATGTGTGCCTGTTTGAACGTATTACTTGTCTGACCGTGTTAAAATTCCTGCTGGTATAAAAACCTGAATTATGTTTTAATACACACAGTTGTCTCATTGACGGTAGCAGCTTATACCCCGTGTAGTAGCACATAGGTAAATGTGTCACATGACTGCTGCGGTCGCTCCGTGCTCAGCGTCTCTTCCTGAGCAGAAGGCAAGGCAGCAGCAGAGGGGGCAGCGGGAGCAGCGGGAGCAGCGGGAGCCGGGGCTTCATGTAAACACGCCGCGCACAGGGCTTTGTTACACACACTCCGCTGGTATCCCCCCTTCTAGTCATGCCATGGATATTTTGTGGCAATACCAGTTCAGAATCATTCTGCTCGGGGATTCCACTGTGGGGAAGTCGTCGCTGCTCAAACGCTTCACGGACGGAATCTACAGCGATGTGGCGGATCCGACGGTCGGGGTAGATTTTTATGCCCGCTCGCTTGATATCGAGCCCGGGGTGAAAATAAAGCTGCAGCTCTGGGACACAGCCGGTCAGGAGCGATTCAGGTACGGGTTTTTTTTTGTTTTTTTAAATGTATGTATTACTGCTTCAATACAAACATCGCTGAATTGAATGTAACCACCATTCTTCACCGAGTCGTTAAATAATGGAGAGGCCTTGGTTCGCTGTCGTGTTTGGCTGCTGTTATTTAAAATGAAAGCCTTTAAATTGAATGAGGGCCATTTCCTCCCTCGTTGTGATGTAATGAAGTGAGTGTAGACAGTGGAGAAAAGGGTCAGGAGAAGATTATATAGGCCTCGATCTTATGATGCCCTGGCCTATATAGAAGCAGTGAAAATCGAGTCGCATCACTGCATTCATTCACGGATGATGGGCAGCCTCCTCATATTCAGGCCCCACTGTGATTCCATCAGATACTGACTGCACGGTCTCCGGTGCAACACCAGGATGACAACAGCCGAGCTTTTGCATTCATCTATCCTGTTGCTTGCTCTGTTTCATGTGTCCCTGCTGTCACGGATCGTTTCCATTAAAGCTCTTCTCTGTGGTGAGAAGCTGCTCCGCTCTCAGATGTGCTTTCCCTTTTGAAGCCCAGGCTTCAGAGGGTGTTTTCCTTCAGGCTCCAACACACTCACAGTCTTTCACTTCTGTCTTAACTGAATATGAAGTGTTCGTGAAAAAGACACAGATTAGGACGTGTGTGTGTGTGTATGACTGGATCCAAGAGGGGGAAAAACTCCAGGGCCGCAGACCTTTAGGGGCCCCTAAGGATCCCGTGTTTACTGTCTGGTTTGTGGTCATTTGATTAATTTTAGTTCAATTCAGTTTAATTCAATTTAATTCAGTTATTCACTCGTTCATTCTCCAGCAGGGCAATTAAAGTCCAAAGGTGTTTTTGCCACATTTGGAAGCCCTGTATTGTAAAAGTAGCCTGTGTCAAAACCTAGTTTTGATACCAGTATTATTTCATATTGTGCATACATAGTGCATATGCATATTAAATACATTTAATTTGCACACATACACATACAATCTGGCACACAGCAAACCTGATATTCCGGCATGGGAGTGCTACTTGGTTTTGATGGACAAAATATAAGGAAGCAGGCGTTGGCTGTCTGCAGTGTGCACCGTAGAAAAGGGCAACAGGATACATACAGAACATTTAGAAAATACACAGAGTGGAACTACTTCGGACATTAAAACATTAACAGATATTGAAAAGCAGAGATTCAATGATTCTGGCAGTAAGTCCTGGTTGCTGTAAGTATGGTGAAAGAGAATACAGAGCTTTACAGAGCTGTAGACTTGAGACAGACTTGAGTCACAAAAACTGAGAATTGGTTCCCCATATATTTAAGTTGACTTGAGATTTCAACCAAAAACATTCAAGCCTCAAGTTAAAGACTAACACTTGCTAGTTGCTTATTGAGACTGGTCTTGGGCTCGAGACTCGACTTCCACAAGAGCTCATGCTTGACTTGGACTTGTCTTAACTAACTTGAGACTTCCTCCAAAAGATTAAAACAGTTCTGGATCTTACATACAGTGGTTTTATAAAGCTTTTGCTTGCAGGTGACGGTTGCGTCCAAGATGTTCGGAAGTGTTAAGTCAAGAAATTTTGCCCTGTATTACTAACATGTCATTAATATATCTACCCACCAGGTCCATCACAACATCCTACTACCGTAACTCCGTGGGCGGGCTACTAGTCTTTGATCTCACCAATCGCAAGACCTTTGACCATGTGAGGGAGTGGCACAAGGAGGTGAGTGAGCACATCCTGCCTCACCACATGGTCTACATCCTCATCGGCCACAAAAGCGACCTCAACAAGGACCGCAAGGTGAGCCGGGATGAGGCGGAGCATCTGGCGGCCGAGCTGGGCATCCGCTACGTGGAGACCTCGGCCAAGTGCAACAGCAACGTGGACCGGGCCTTCGAACTGCTGACCAGAGACATCTACGAGCTGATGAAGATGGGGGAGATCGTCACCCGCGACGGCTGGGACGGGGTGAAGAGTGGCCTCACCGCCAAGGTGCTCTACCCGGCCGAGGACGAAGAGGAGCTAGCTACCGCGACCGCTGAAAAGGGCTGCCACTGCTGACTGAGAACTCTCCGTGTCCAAACACCGTCTCGTCACACCAAGAGCTCACCTCGTCTCACAGCTGTCCATCGAAACCAAGTCACTCAGGCTCAGCACCCTGTGATATCACCGTCCATCACTCCCTCACCTTGTGCTTTGTGCCCTCTCTGTGTGTGGTTTCTTCTGACAACTGGGATTCTTTTCTAACAGGGGGCCACTGTACATCCCAATGTGTCTCAAGTTGTATCTCTAAATTCATGTGGTGTAGCACGAGTCAACCTGTTTTGGGCCTCGTTAGGTTCGGAAAACACAGAAAGCGTCCAGAGGTGATCAGGTCTTGGGTCTTATAGTGTAGCCAGTACTCCTTTACACAGCCCTGGAGTTAATGGACTACTGAGTATACTGAAGATACAGATAAATCCATGGACTATGACTTACTGTAGTCTGGCATCTATTGTCGGTTTCTACTCGTCAAAGTTTGTGCAATGCTTTGCCTGCAATCTTTTGTGACTGTAATATTGTAAATAATAGTGAAATCTATAGAGATGAAAGCTAAAAGGTCACTGAAAGCTATTAAATTGATAGTGTGAACATACAGCTCTACAATTAGTGTCGCCATATTAAATCAATGTGCTCCTGCTACTGTAAGCTGTGTGTGCACTTACGCCAAACTGAGTTAAACCTTTGATCATTCTGTGAATAGATGAGTGATGTTTTTGTTAAGAAAAATTTAGATTATTTCTAGTTTAGGTGTATACATCAAGATAGGCCACTGAAATTAGTGTTGGTGGTCCCATTTAGGTATTTGTATCATAGGATCAACAGAAGCAAGACGTCAAGTGTGTCACCTCTCATCATCAGCGGTAGTAAAGATGTGTTTAAGAACAAAAGGGAGTTTGGATTCCACCTGCAGCTGTTTCTGTAAACAGCTGTTTCATTTGTTCAAAGCTCAGTTTGGTAAAATAATATGCCATTCATGCCTGAGCTGATGATGGATGCCAACTCATTAAATCCAATGGTGTGGATATATGTGCTGCTTTTGTGTATAGACTTTATGCTGTGTTCCAGAGGTGTCAGTAGGCCATTTGGGGAGATCTAGAGAAAAGTCAGGGCTCCAAGTAGGAAAAAAATGTTCAGCCCTGAGGATGCCACATTAACATGGTAGCATACACTGCAAAAGTGAATTTGCATTTCTTAAACATGGTTATTACAGTCCTCCAAACAGTTCAGTAACCACAGCACCCTGGGTTGGGTTTTGGCAAGGGACTTTTGCCACATGTCATTGCCACTCTCACTCGTATTTCTTATCATCTATTTCTTGCCCAACAGACTGCTTGATTTGATATTTGCAGGGCCTTAAACGTATATGGTCCAACATTTTGAGAAATAAGCATTTTTGCTTTGCTTTCCGGGAATTAGAGAAAATTGATATCTGTCTCATTTCTGTAAGTCCTACATTAAAGTCCTAAATTAAACGAGATGTCGGGTTATTTCTCTGTAAGGGATCCATACTGTTGGGCTCCCTTTTGCAGCCCATGGAGCTGCCCCCTGCTGGCCATTAGAAAGAATGCAGACTCTACCACACTGACTTCACTTCACAGACCTGGAAGCTCTTTCCACTATATATACTGTCAATGCTCTAAACATGAGACTGGTATCAATCTTCTCATATAACTTTCGTGGAGAAAGCACATAAGTGCATTTCCCAAAATGTTGAACCATGTACCTAAACTGAACAAAATGCCTGTTTTTACTTATTGAAATCTGACAGAAGTGATCGCCAATAAATCTGTTGACTTTCAAGGCCAGGAGTTTTATTATCGTTATATAAATCTAAGGTTTAAAGCTGTACTTAAAGTCGCTGAAATTCTTTGCTAACTACAGTAAGTACTGTTGATATAACATAAGCTTTTACATGGATAAGAGTCTTTACAGACTTGTGACCCTAATAATACCAGCTGTAATGGAGCCTATCAGCTTGCTGTTCTGAGCAGTGAGTTGCATTTATTATGAACGCATGTCTCACAAACATAGCAGTAACTACCTTTGACACAGAGGGTTGTGTATACTTTCAACTCTGCAGAGGCTTTTGACCGCAGACGCTATTAATCTGCTTCCAGGCCTCGAGTGTACATTAGACCGCAGTACACTATGCCTGGGAACTCACCTCCCCTCCCACCGCTCATTCACCTTTCACCAGCATCTCACCAAAAAACCTGTTCACACACAGAGATTATGCATTCTGCAGTTTTTACTTTGCGTTCATGTGACCAAACTGACATTTGTTTCCTTTTAATAGAGGAAGGCTGTAAGGCAGCATGTAAGGAATGTATTCTAATACATTTGCACCCTCCCTTTATTTTTTTACTGTTCTGTACAGATTCAAACTATATTCTTCCTGGTAGACCTGTTATAGCCAGGTTTAAAAACAGTGTCCAACACTACATACTATATGTTTTTTGGTTGTTTGACAATCACACGTTAACATTTTGTGTTCTCGGCACAGCTGAGGACTTCATCACAGGGGTGCTATGCTTTGAGATCTAGCTAAATGTCCTTGCAACATCCAAAATCACCATCTGACAACCAGTCTGGCTGTGTTTAATACAACTACCTTCCTCTTTTTGTCTCTCATCTAAACAGGGTTCAATTGTATGATATTGTTTGAATTTGTATGTTAATACTGTGCTGTTAGCAAACTGTTCTCCAGTGAGCATGATTCCCATTCCTGAGCACCGCACATCAGAAGGGCCCGTTGCACTGCGTGGTGCGAAGAAGGCAGCCTCCGAGCTTTGGTTCAATTTTGAGGACAAGACTGGAAAGACACCAAGAAGAAAGGGCTTTGTGAAAGACTCTGTGGGAGGAAATAAGCTTATTTCTCATCACTTGACGAATCCTCTCCACCAATGTTAAATAGCTATGACAATAATGATAAGATTAACAACAGCATTTGTAACCTTAAAAACTGCAATCTTACAAAAAGTGACCATCCTGTGATATGATGATGATGAGAATGACGGTGGCCAGTCTTCAGTCCAGATCCAGCTTCTCTCTTACTTTAATCTTAAAGTAGTTTTTAGGAAACACTCTTATATTGCTTTCTGTCAGAGAATTAGATGAATGGGAACAGGAAGCCTGACTCTGTCTAAATTTCAAAATACACCTATCAACACCTCTAAAGAAAAGTAAAAGGAGGTTGTGAGGTGAGCTACATAGTCTGCTTAGTCTGTGGATAATGCTGATGTTCCAGCATAACTCCCAGTAAAACCACAAGTTGCCATTTTTACATTTCTGTTTGTGTACAGGTTAAAGGTGTTGTAAGTGAAGTCTGCAGTTTGGCTAACTTCCTGTCCGTTCTTGCAGCTAGCAGTCGCCTCCCTCCTCCCCAAGTCACCACACTGAAATTCTGCTGCCTGAGGACCGCCTCTTTGTGGAGTCCTCTCTCCTGATTGGACAAAGTGGGAATGGAATACCAGAAAACATATTCTCTGTTTACTGCAGAAAGGGACTGGGGAGCCCTTCTTTGACTGTACACTCTGTATCAGTGACAGCTGTCGGAACGTACAGCTATTTAACACTTATTTTAACAAAAAAAATATATGGCTTACAGCCTCTTAAACAAACAAGAATGAGTAATTAGAGAGCTTTAGAGGTGTTGCTACGTATATTTTTGAACTCAATATGAATATTGCACATTTTGGGACACAGACATGAGATTGATATTAATCTTCTCATCTCGCTCTCACAAAACAGCCCAGAACAGGATATCTCAAAATGTTGGACTATGCCTTTAATGGTGTGTTCTTATGTTGTCCAGGGGAATGATCAAACCAACCCACTGATAGGGCTCCTATACCAGACACCATCAGCAGCTGTTAGGCCCTCGACGCAGTACATAGCACCGAATTATTCCGCTCCTGATCCCCATGGCCACATTTCACAGCTTTATGAATAAATGTTATTTATTTTATATATCATGTATAAGGCCTTTGATTTGATGTGATTTTATTGATTGGTTAAAAAAAATAAATAGATGTACAATGAATGATGTTGGGACTCAAGTTTGCTGTTTTTTCACTGGGGTTTGGCGCCCTCTTCTGACAGACTGACGGAGGATCATTGTGACCTAGATTGGTCACTGATTAATGGATCCATCCATCCTTTTATCCAAAACAAGAGTTTCTTTTGTCCTGATTAGATTTACTAGCTGATAGTGAGATATTGCTACAGCCAGGTTCAATGGGAACAAAAGATGCAAAACAAAAATGAAATAGGTAATCTATATTAGCTGGTAGCATTAGTTTGGCAATGGATGTCATAGAAATGAAATGTATTTTATATATCTGGCGACAGTATGGCCTATATTAACACAATAGTCAAGTCAAATTATAATCTGTACAGCATACAGACCCACAATTTACCCACAATTCAGATGAGGGACAAGAAATGTAAATATAATAACAGCATTTTAATCCCCCACTCAGAATTATATCCTGTCAGTGTGGAGAGGGCCTTTAAAACACAATTTAGGATGGTGTAATGTATAAAATATATAATATAATTAATATATAATTATATACTAATAAATACATTACATTTTTTTAATTTCTGAAAAGATTCTCACAAAAAAGTGGAGTGGAGCCCCTGGGGATGTAAATGTACCAGCCACAGTATTTATAAAACCCAGTCCCTGCATCTGTTTCCATTATCTTATGGGTTAACTATGGGGCTATCTGAGAGACAGCCGCCGAATTTAGAGAAAACGGTTGTCATGATGACTTCAGGTTCACTTTACAATACAGTAAACAACATACAAGACCTTTGTTTATCTAGATACTCGTTGATATTCCCGCATTACCTGAACGCAGCACTGGTTGAAGAGCCCACAGCAACCAATGAGAGCCCACAACAGTAGGTCGCTCCGCCTTTTATTACCCATCATGCTCTCGGCTACTCAAATCCCCTACCTAAATTTGCTAAAATACCGAAAATAATTCACTAATGACTAAATATTTCAAATAATAGTTGGTTGTCGTACATGACTGTGACACAACACGTAGTCAAACGCTGAGACACTGAGACACACTGTCGGCTCCTGAACCCTGAGTGAGGGACGTGTTGCCGCTGCTCAGTACGTGGGATGTTCAGGTGATTCGTTAAAAAGGGCTTCTGCTGTGATTGGCACAGGAGGGGTGGGGAAATCCACTCCTCCTGCGGAATCGCCATCAAGAGATTTCGGAAGCACAATTTTTAAACCAGGGGCTGCTAGTGATCACTTGTCCTGGCGCCCCGTCCTCTGCTGTGAAAGAAAAGACCCAACATAGAGATAGAAAGAGCAGGTTTACACAGCGGAGCTCTCATTTCAACCCACAGGTTAGAGTTGTTATAAGTGAGCAATGAGAACTGTAGACAAGGTTTCTTATAACGTTAAACATATACAGATGTGTGATATGGCCACTTGGCTCAACATATTGATAGTTAAAATATCATTCTTATTTATATAGCAAACTAGCTGTTAGACTTCGCCTTGGGGTGAAGAATGCCTTTATTTCAGCAGCTCGGACTCTATAACAACAGTGCTCTGTGCTTCACTGTTCAAAATGTCCCACAGTTTATTCAACACTACATTACAAGGCCAATGTTAACCTGTGATCACACTCACTGGGGTGCAAGCTGAATAGACCAAACCTAGGAGATATAACATCATAAATAAATATACAAACAGAGGGTTCCCTCTCCTCTATGATACAGTTACTGGAGTCACAGTGAAGAGTTGCGGTTGATGTTCAGGGTTTACAAGAGCGTGATAACAAGGCGAGCGCTGTTCAGCAGGAAGTCAAGCTATATCAGAGAAGTGCGCATGCGCCGCAGCTCTCCACAATCTAGGGCTGCGTTTCTCTTCATAAAACGGTAAGGACAAGCTCATTTTTTACTATGTCATTTCAAATATGCTTGGCTGCAAAATATCACCCGCGCTTACGACGCGAACGGTAGTTTTAGCCGGGGGTTTCGGGTATATCGCGGAGGGGGTTCAGCCAGCCAGGCTCGTACAGAATGGAGGGGCAACGCCGTCGCCGCGCCGTTGTTTGCTGTACGTGCCGCCGCACAGGGAGACGTCATTTTGAGGGGGAGCGGAGAGTTAAAATGCAGAGTTACGAAGGGACGTACGGTTCAGAGACAAGCGGCACGTAACCGTCACACTGTAAATGCAAAGCTTTACCCGTCTCGGACAGTATAGTTCACAATATTGTCCAGTTTCCCACACATCAAGTTACGCCCTTGCGTTAGCCATAATGGCTACCGTCGAGCCTAGTCTGAGTAGCTGTGTGGATCTCAATAGCGAAAAGCAGTCAGGTGCCTACTGCGGTCGTGATAACCCATCTAACTTTGGTAATAGGGATGTTTCATCTGCAACAAAGCAGATGGATTTATCTCTGCTGTAACTGTGCATGGTCCACCGACCTCTTGTCAGTTAGCATCTCCCTAAATTAGGCGAAACTGCGGTTTCTATTCCACAATATGCGGGAAAATCTTACACTAACGCCACAGTTTGCTCAAAAATGTGACTTAGAAACTGGAGCTTTATGAGCAGTTTGCATTGCTGACAGAACATGTTTTATTGCAATGTAATATTTGTTATGGCCTTGTGATAAATGTAGCCCCAACAATTTAAAATGTGACCTTTAATATTATAATAATTATTACTCCCATTAGTTCACAGACATGAAGAAAGTTTGTGTCAGAACCATTTCAGAAATATGATTAAAAAAAGTGACAAAATGTTTGGTAAAATGTAGTGGATATAACATAACTAACGTTAGATTGATATTGATGAATTCATACATTTTAACATATTGGAGAACGTTACCGTTTAAATGACGAATTTCTTCATGAAGTTTGGTTCATGTTCTTCATGTTAGGGAGAGTGAAGCATAATTAGCCTAACAGCTTTCAAGCTAGCTATGGTTAACTAACTTAAGTTAAGTTAACAGTTGTCCCAATAATAGGCTATTAAAATATACTCAAACATTACTGCATTATATTTTGAATTTTTTAATTGTATCAACTCACTTCACTATGTTACAACAGGCTTACATGTATAGTATGTCTACATTTGGTTTAAAAAGTTCAGTTAGTTACCTAACGTTAGCTAGTTGTGGTTAGCTAGCTAAGTTAACAGCTATCCCAATGCTAGTCCATTCAAACAGTATAAATGTACTCAGAAAACATTACTGCATTAGCTATATTTTTTATTTTTTATTTTATCAACTCAACTATGTAACAGCATGCTTACATGTACAGTATGTCTACAATTAAAACACCTTTAGGCTACTAAATAAGTTGCACTAACATGTTAACATAACGTTATGTCTTGTGGAACAACATCATGCCACCTCACCCTAATGTCTAAACCAACGAGAAATTCCTTTTCTATTATCAGGCGCTCCACAATCTGCTTTATCTTCAACTTCTCATTCATTCTCAATGCATATGACCAGTCCACTTTACATCTCTTTCCACTACATATCATATCACTAATGGTACACGACATCCTGAATGATATATGGGTATGTTTTAAAAAAAAAATGTATTTGTCCTTTTTCAGATGAACAAACTCCTGGATAGCTGTTATATGAAAGCAGCCCCCCTCTGTAGTCTACTCTGAGTGTGATGGCGACCACGGAGGAGGTCACGGTGTCCATGGGGGAGGTGGTGATGGTGAAGACTGACGGTGAAGGGGACCCCGATGACCCAAATAAGACTCAGGTCATCCTCCAGCTCCAGCCAATCACCACTGGGTATGTACTGACGCCAGGTGTAACCTCACTGACTGAAATTACAGTTCAGTTCACTTCAAAACAATTTAACAGAACAAACTGCAGGGATGCCAGGTAAATAGCCCTTCTTAGGTTTTAATTACAGTGGGACAAAGAGTACTACTCCTAAGTAAATACTTACATACACAATACATAGACCGTATCCTCTATACCGCCAAGAAGAAATGAGTGAAAATGCCAACTGTTTTTTATTTTCAGAGATGAATCTGCTGAAACAGATGCAGCTGTCATGGCTGTTGAAGCCCATCCTGGTAAGAGACTGTCAGAATGATGTTTGGACCGTTTGAAAGATTTAGTGATGCATATGTTTATCAATTTCCTCTGGTCTTCTCCTGTTAAAATTTTGTATCTTTTCATTTTTTTTAGAACAAACTGAAGGAGATGACGTTGAGATTGGCTGTCCCATAACATGCGGCGACAGTAAAGCTGTGTTGCTAGTGAAGAAATTTGTGTGCCCAGGAATCAATGTCAAATGTGTGAAGGTTGGTATTCGTCGTACACATTGAAGCAAAGTGGCAACTGTAGGAGGGTTTCACTAGTGGTCTTCTAATGCCCATCCATATGCAATTACATGTAGTGAAAATGAGTCCCGAGACGCATTAACACTAACAGACTGTGAAGAAAACTTGGTTGTTACGAACATACTGTTATGAATGAGTTGAATTAAACGGGCACTAATAAATAAATAAATAAGAAACATGGGTAAGAAATAATTGAGGCTACGGTTAAAAAATATTGTACATTAGTCTGTAAAAACAAGTTGGGACTTGAAATCAAATCAAGGCAAAATGTTTGCACAGCTTTATTGAGTTTGTGCACCTGCAGGACCAGGTCATTTCCACACTTTTTCAAAATGTTAATGTTTGTGGATTTTCTTGCGCTCGTATTACCAACAGTGAATGGTAAGGTGTCACTGTTGTATCCATGCAGTAGTATTCTGACTGATAGTATGTAGGACATTCACACAGGTAAAATTACTAAGTCTGTAATGACAGTATAGACACTAAAATCATTTGGGTTTTTATTGACAGGGAGCGAGAGGTATGTTGCGGTTACATGGTATGCAACTCCACAACATATAGAACACAAGTTTAGTGCTTATAGACATTATAATGTGGAATTATTACATATTCTAGTTGCATATATGATACTGGAACTACAAGTACTAGAAAAACTTTTCCCCTCAGAACACTGTTAGCATTATTATATAGAACATACTTAATAGCAGTAGTATATGGTATCTGTTTCAGACACAGTGATAGATTACAATTATCATCAGTCAGTAGTTACTACTGCACAACATTTGACTGACCCCAAACCCCTTTCATCTAGTGCAGTGGTTCCCAAACAGTGTGCTGTGAAGTGAGGTTAGCTGTGCCGTGGGATTTTGTGACAACCATACAATATGCAGTGTACAACTAAACATAAAGTTATGGATTCATTTTTAACTTAACACTATATCTGTACCTGGTACGTGCTTTGTAGTTCCATTACCTCATTTTTAGTTCTGTGACCTGTCTGCTTTAAATGGGTGTGTTGTTCTGCCTTTTTGTGGCTTGTTTGAAACCCACCCGTAGTGCACAGTTACACCACACCACATCATAGCATAGTACATTTAGTTTGGTACCTGCAATAATATGAATATATTATATATGACTATGTAAATTAGCTTTTTTAGTTTTTGCTGGTGTTTTATCCTCACTCAATGAACTCAATGTGGTCACTTAACTGTCTCCACCAGTATGAAGACCAGCTGATCAGCCCGAAGCAGTTTGTGCACATTTCTGGAAAAGCCACCCTGAAAGACTGGAAGAGAGCCATCAGGATGGGTGGAGTCATGCTAAGGTGAGCGGACTTATATTTGGATTAGGGAGCCAAAAGCACATATTTTAATATTCTGCTTGGTTGTACTACCCGACATCATAATTAGTCATCATCACAGCCTGCATGCAAACTCACATATGTATTACTGCTGATGTAACCAGCAGAGATGTGACTCATGCGTCTTGAATAAATATCCAAAACCATGACAAGATCAAATATTCTGTGCAGCTTTATACCAGAGAGAACTAACGAGACATTATTCCATCACGAGTGAGCTGTAGATATGATAATAACAACTCTTGTGTCTGCGTTAAACCATCTGTCTCTTTGACTGATGGAAAGACATTCTGTCATATTCTGAAATTGAATCACTTATCATATCCTGCATACTTTACATACATACATACCTGAGCAGTCTATATAAGGAAATATTTGTTGGTAATGGGAATTTGTGGTCATTGACACCCAGATGGAGTAATTAACAGAAAGACATTTTCAGATCCCACTAACAAATACATGAGCCCATAGTAAATCTCTCTGTCTGTGAGTGTGGACGAGACCCCTTTCTCTGCATGGGACGATGTGATTATCCTGGTCAAAATAATTGTGATATTATCTCAATAATCATTAAATGTTTCTACAGTAGTGTTGTTTTATTTCATAGCTCATTCATGCTTCAGTTAGTTGCAGTCTGCAACTTCATCACCAGATCCTACTAAATCCAACACACTGGAACTTTAAACCTCTTAAACATACAGGCAAACCGAGCCTTCAGCCATGGTGACAGACTTATGATTTTGGAATGATGCAGACTCTTTGTTTTGGCAATTAAAAATTAATTTAGGAAATCAGTTCACCATAATGAGTGTTTTTATCACGATACGCGATAATATACTGTATATTGTCCCATCCCATCTCCTTTCTCTGCTGATGGCACTCGTTTAGGTGTAGGGTGATAAGATGCCTGTCTTTTTGCAGAAATATGCAGCTTTACAAATAGTTTTTAAATTTAGAAATACACAAATATTCTATTCTACTAATGCACAGTTTGTGTTATGAGATCCTTGAATTTGGCTTTTTGTATCTAGTCAAAATATATTCCTGCTCCTCCTGCTGTTTCTGTGATGTCCTGCACACAAATGAGTTGTAACACTTCATGCAGTCGCTCTCACAAAACTTTCAAACAAGTAGAATTAGTGCACTGAGTCGGAAAGGCACTGCACCTCCACCCAGATAAGTACAGTGACAGGCAGCTCAGAAAGTGACAATCAAAATGAAATGTCAGCTATAAAGGATGCAAATATCTTTGGCAGTACTGAGGAGATCAATGGTAGCCTATCAAACCTAACTTCTTTTTTTTCTCTCTTCTATTTCTCAACTGTTTGGTGCTTGCTTTGATGTACTGAACTCAGAAAAATGATGGATTCAGGTCAGCTGGACTTCTACCAGCACAGCACACTGTGCACCAACACGTGTCGCAGCACCAAGTTTGACCTTTTAATCAACAACACGCGGTTCCCTCCCGATGGCACCGGACTTACTACGCCCACCTCCTCTCAAGGTGAGAACACAGCAAAGTCATGGCTCGACACATGGCGCTTTATTAAAAGATCTGCTGTTGTGTGTTGTTTAGAGTTGAGGGATTCTGTTTTTGCTTTATCAGGCTTGTGTCAGAAGAAAACTAAATGTTACTTCTGCAACTAACAATTATTTTCATTATCAATTAATCTGTAAATGAAAAATGTTGATCAGTGTTTCCCAAAGCCCAAGGTGACGTCCTCAAATGTGTTGTTTTGTCCACATCCTAAAGATATTCAGTTTACTGTCAGAGAGGACTGAAGAAAGCAAAGATTTTCACATTTGAGAAGCTGTGATAAAAGAATTTGGATATTATTTCGATTGCTTGATTATCAAAATGGTTGAATTAATTTAACAGCTGATGTTGCAGCGCTGCAAAATATGTTGAAGGCAGATTTAGATTGCAGTAAAGGGTCATTTATCCTAAACGATGAGTTAGAGAGACTGGAGACTGCATTCTTACAGCAGCTGGAGGAAATGCTTCATCATTTGGGAAAGATGAAATAATTATTTGTGTGGTGGTCTCTCCTCTTCACTATATTGTATTATATATATACTGCACAAGTTCATTGGTGTAAGCCATAATAACTGACAAGTTTCACTTGGCATGATCGTAATGGATGACACAGCAGCTGCCAAATTCAGGCAAAAATAAAAACATGTTCATAGTTCTGACTGAACAGATGTTAATGAGTTTTAACTGGTTACTGGTTGCCACCCCCCTTTCCTGTGTACCTTCAGCTTTCTCTGTCAGTTAAAGGTATACAAGCCTATGCTTTCCAGAAACATCAAATGAAAGAAATAAGTTCCACTGAAACTTTCTTTGTCTTTGTGTTGTAGTCACAGTTAGCAAAGTTTTGCATTAAAAATGCTCTGACATTCAAGTTTATACATACAAAATTGACTGGATGCCGTACTAGAGCACCAGCATCTCAGACTAAATGAATAAAATAAAACTCAACAAAAACGTCTTTGTCTTTCAGCCGGCTTCTGTAAACCAAACCTCACAGAGCTGCGATAGACCAACACGCAGAGGGAGTGAGACACCATGACTCCACTAAATCTTACTTAAACTTAACAAAACAACTTAACATAGTTGTGTACAGCTATATTCATGTTTTAAATCTCATATATAACCTTTAAAGGGTCAGCTGCTAAAAGCTTCCTGCCAAATTCACATGCTCTTTACGATTCAGTGCAATGCTTTTGCACTGCTGGACCCTCAAATCTCAGACATTTGAATGTCCATGTAACAAGCATAATGTGTGCTGTCTTGTGTAAATTGCAGCTCAGGTGGTCCTGGGTAACGGCGGGGTAGTGGGCGAGGACAGGTCCGAGGTTCTGAGTGGGAAGGCGGACTGGAGCTCAATCTCACTGGAGTCTATCGACAAGAAGGAATCGAATGAGATCTCAGGTCGCAGAGAGCGCACACCCCGACACAGATCCTTAATATCACAATATTGACATAAACACATCAGTGACCGAGACTTGCTTGTGTCTGTCTTCAGAGGACACACTGAACTTCTGGAAGGGCATCGCCGACGTGGGTTTGCTGGGTGAAGTGGTGACCAACATCAGCACAGAGCTGCTGGAGCTGCTGAACGGCGTGCAGCAGCGCAGGGAGCCAGCTGGCTTACAGGACACAGGTACGGAACAACGCTAATGTGTACTGGCTGCTGGGAATCATCAAAGCAGACCATATGCAAGACTTAGGGCTTGTTTGAAGGTGCATAAACGAGAAACAAATGGAAAGAGAGAACAAATTCAGCTGCTGTTGGAAGCTGATAGATGAAAAACAGACAAAAGGAAGCTTGTAGAGTGGCTGGTTTCTGTAACAGTAATGACTGAATGATTGTTTACAACAGCTGAATTTGTTCCTCCTTTCTGACTGACCAAGTGACCCTTTGATTGATTGCCGCACTGATCCCAGATTCCTGTCTGGTAGAGGTGGCGGTGCTCAGTAACCTTGCCCAAGTGTTCGGCCTGCTCGACTCGGTCAAGAAGATCCTGGAGAGGAGGAAGCAGCAGACGGATCCCTGCCAGGAGCAAATCCTCAGCACGCTCACCAGTGAGTACAGACCACAAACAAGGTTTCCCCTCAGGAGCCTCCACACGATTCTCTGTTCTTTACTCTGCTGTCCTTGGTTTGGCTGGTGACGCGTATATCTTTTCAGGACCCATTGGACACGTCGTTCAAAAATCAGAACTCAAGGTCTTTTTTTCGAGAGCTTTCATGATTTTTTTAAAAATGTCCAAAGCAAGTTTTTGAGTTGAGCAAGTTTATGTTGAGCGCTGATGTGTATCAGTACACACTTTGGAAGTCGGCTTATGCATTATGTACACCAAAAATCTCTGACACCATCTTTCACGGTACAACAAGCTCTGTATTTCCCTGTGTGTGTGTGTGTGTTAGAGGAGAGCAGGGGAAATCTGTGCTACACACACATAATTACTCACTTACACTTGACTGACATCCCCTTCACTACACTAACGACAGTTAATGAGTAGTCTTCTTTCTTAGTGTGATGAAATAGTGCCGGACTGTTTTAAAATCCAGTGTCTGAGCCAGGAAATAAAGATGATAGAATTGAAGTCAGATTTAGTTACAAATACAGTTTTGCAGTGGGAGGAGCTATTCCAGGCCCTAATTGATCTAGAAGTAAAAATCCCATTCGTTGCCTTGAATTGGCACAAACAACTGCATTACAAAATACCTGGTTCTTTCATAAGCAGTCAGAGGTTGTAGTCTGTGTACAGTACATAAAAAACCTCGGGGGAGAAGTTCTCTACGACTCCCAAGGTGCATTTTG